CAACTTTCCTCCAGAGACAATTCTTGTAAATTCTTTTAGCTGTTTCTTCTGGTATTTGGGTTTTTTAATTGCCAAATAACATGCTTATACAATTTTTTATCATTTTTCCAATATTAGTTATTATGTATTTTCTGTGGTGGAAGATGGTACCCTAGGGTTCTTATACCTTTTACACACACATTCACACACACACACTTCCTATCCCCTCATTCCCTGAAAGAAGTTAATCACAGTATTTTACAGTTTACATTATTTTCTATGTAAATATTATTTACAGCTGAGCCATGTAGTGTACTATGGTTACATTTAATTTCTTATACAATAGTTTATTTCTCCCCAGCATTTAATAATTCATTGTCTTTTCATTTGCTTAACTGTCTTTGTATTTATCACTAATTCATCTGTTTTTGTTATCTCGTGCTGCTCTGCAAGGAATGTACCACAAATGGGATGGCTTTAACAAACAGGAGTTTATTCTCTTACAGTTTGGAGGCTTTAAGTCTAAGTTCAAAGTGCTGGGCTCTAGGGGCTGGGTGAAAGCCCCTCAACCTGCAGCTTCAGCTCTGCCTCCTGCTCCCCACTCACTGAAGCTGGTGACTTTTTTTCATTCAGACAGCTGCTGGCTGCTGAGGCTGACAAACCCAAGGTCGACAAGTACTAAGCCACAGTCCCAGTGTTACCAAACTACACGACAGGCCACTAATTCAAGTCCAGAAGAAGTCCCAAGATCAGCAGGGCATGGCAGGCTGCTGAACAATGACTTGGCCACATATAGGGTTCAAGTGTGCCAAAAAGCTGGAGACCTTCCTCAAAGTTGCTTCTTATGTACTGGAAGCAGACCACATCCTTAAAGCAGCTACCCGGCTGCTCCAGAAGATTCCACCATGGAGTTAATTACCAATCTCACTATGGGGAATAACTACATCCAGCTGCCTAGCCACTTAACCAGGCCCAGCCAAGCTAATATACAAACTTAACTACCACATTATCCCAAGTTCTCCAAGGGAAATATACATCCCTTTCAATGTGTGCAAAGCAAATTGTTGGTTTGTCTTGGTGACATCTTCTGAAGTTCTCTGAGATTCCCACTCCAATATGGACAAGTTGTTCTCTAGGCCTGCCGCACATCAATATCCTGGGAATTCTCTTCAGTTTTCTCATGTGTTGGATTCCTCTGTTCTTAGATGCCATGTTTCCCTCTGTCTTGGTTTAATCTCTTATTTTGGAGGGGCACATTCTCCAGTAGCTTCCTGATAAGAAGTACAAAGGAGATAAAAATGTTGTGAGCTTTCATATCTGAAAATATCTCTAATTATCCTCATGAATTTGTTAAGGCCCTCTTCTGGTTACCTAGTGCTGCTCTGATAAGAATATACCACAAATGGGATGGCCTTAACAAACAGAAGTTTTTTTTTTTCTTACAGTGCGGGAGGCTAGAAGTCTGAGTTCAAAGTGCCAGGCTCTAGGGGCTGGGTGAAAGCCCCTTGACCTTGGGTTTCAGCTCTGCCTCTTGCTCCCAGACCACTGAAGCTAGAGACATCTCTTCACTCAGGCAGCTAGTAGCTGCTGAGGCTAACAGGCCCAAGGTTGACATATAAAATGGCACTGTCTTGATATTACCAAACCACATGGCAGGCCATTAATTCAAGTTCATTGTAAGTCCCCAGGTCAGCAGAGAATGGCAGCCTACTGAACCATGACACAGCTACATGCAGGGTCCAAGCATGCCATGAGCTAGAGACCACTCCCAAAGCTGTTTCTTATATATGGGAAGCAGACCACATACCCAAAGCAGCTATTCAACTACTCCAATACATTCCACCATGGAGTTATAGCAGTCTCACTATGGGGAATAACTACATTCAGTTGCCCAGCCACTCAACCAGGCCTAGCCAAGTTGACACACAAACTTAACTACAACAGGCCCTCAATGAGATGAATTGACACAGTGGCTGCAACGATGCGCAAAGATTGTGAGGCTGACACAGGACAGGGTAGTGTTTCGTTCTGTTGTGTATAGGGTCGCTATGACCTAACAACAACAACAATTCATATTAGAACCTTTTCCAAAATGTATGGTGATCACTTGTCATAATTACAAATGAGGCTCTAAAAGGTTAGATGCTCTCAGTGAGTGGAAGGAGTGAGTCCCATTGTGGGCTTCATTGTAAGACAGGTAAAAGGGCAGGCCAATTGTGTTGGGTGATCCCCAACTGTCTATATCGGTCAATCGTTTTTTCTTGAATTAGATGGTTTCCTCACGGGAGGATCCTGTAGATTCCTGGGCAGGCTGTAAATACGCCTGTCAAAATTTGGGTTGCTGCATGAGAGAAGGGCATTGGGGTTCTTGTTTAATGTAAACACTTCCACTTAATCCTTCCCTAGCATTATAACATGCTTGACTAGAAACCAAAAGTTTGCAGAGTCAAGTCCACACAAAGGTGCCTTGGAAGAAAGGCCTGGAGATCAGTCATTGCAAACATTATGGAGCATGGTTCTGCTCTGACATACGTCGGACTGCTGTTGATTGGAGTCTAAGCAACAGCAACTGGCCTTTGGTTTTTTTTAACTTCATAACAGCACCTCCTTCCCACCTTCCACTGTGGCTGGAGTCAACAACTCTAGAGAGAAAATTTCTATGGGGGGTGGGGCAGGTGCCCGGTGAGGGTGGGGAAATCAATCTTCCTGGAGGTTTCCAGAGATGGACCATAAGGAGAATACCCAACCAGCACTGCCATGCTGTGCATTTTAAAATTCTTACTAGCTGTGTGAACTTGAACCCATTTCCTAATTTCTCTGAGCTTCACTTGCCTTTTCTGTAAAATGGAAATGCTGGGCTTTGGCGTGAGGGTTAAATGAGATTAATGAATGTAAAGAGCCTGGCACAGTCTACCCAGCATGGAGGGGGCACTCAGTTGTTGGCAATACAGTACAACAAAGGCTACAACAGTAGTTAGTAGTTGTTGGTTTCAGTGGAGAGAGGGAGCCTTTCCCACTACCCTGTGCTTTTGTACACTCTCTCAAAGGGAAAGCAGCACCATCCTACCTGTGTTCCTCTAAAGATTAACTGAATTTCAAGGGTACAACAACCTTTGTAACTTTCCCTCCACCTCACCATCTTCCTGATTGCCCAATCCAAACCCTCAGAGCTGTCACCTTTATTCTGGCCCCTATTCCTGCAAATGAACTGACAAGAGTGAGGACTGCAGTGATGTCAACCCAACTCTGAACATTTCAGGAGTGAAATTGAGGTATGCTTCCATATCCTCTCTCCTCTCTCATATCCTACATGTCTTCTGTTTCCTAGAGTAATGCCCCAGGTCCACTTCCTATTCTTCCTGTCCTTTCTAATCCCTTGGCAAGAAAAAGACGAAGAGAATATTCTTGCCTTCATTGTGCTAGAGCCCTTCCCCCAATGTAAAATGAAATTCATTCTTCCCTCTACTTATCAGCTCTCTCTCGCCTGAACCCTTTTTCTCTCACTGTCTTCGACTGGGGCCATTACTCTGTTCTGTGACCAGGCAGTCTTCCCATTCAGAGTCAAAATCTTTCCCCTGAATTCTTAGTTTACAGTTCTTGCCTGCCCTGGGTCCTCCAGCAGCACTGTTAATTGGGTATATCTCAGAGAATTGAAGTAGGAGGGAGAGCTGGAGAATCAGGGGAAGTTGGGGCTGTCTTAGAGTTAAGAATCTAGGATCACTGATAGGTTAAAGCAAATCAAACCAAATTCACAGCCATGGAATCAGATTGACTCATAGCAACCCCGCCTTGGGTTTCTGAGGCATTATCACTATGGAAGTAGATTGCCCCATCTTCCTACTGAAGAGTGGCTGGTGGGTTTGCACTGCCAGACTTCTGGTTAGCAGTCAAATGCCTTAGGCACTAGCTGATGTAAGCCAGCATCCACTGGACTCAGCAATTTTTTTTTCCAATCTGACATTTCAGAATGTAAGACTTTAATGCAGACTATTTCTTCCTACATTCCTCATTTAGATTCAGCCACTGAAAATACAGCTAATGGTGTTGGCAACACCACTGTGGTGCCTGAAGCACTTTTATATAACCTTTCTAGTCATGGTCTTGTAACATTCACAAGATTATTTGGGACTGTGCAAATTGAGCAACTTATGGTACACTGAGCAGATTGGTCACTTTACTATACAAATTGGGTAACTTGTGTTCTACCAAGGAGATTGGTCAATCCATGACTTGAAATTGATAAGAAACAGGCTTATACAAGGGCCAGTCACAGAGGTTGGGGGAATCTGGAGTGAAGTATGTCCTTTGGACCAATGACTTGTTTTCCCTGAACTGAGAACCTCCTAGACCTAAAATAAGATGGTATGAGACACTGAAGACTGCACAAGACAGGGAAAGACAGCCTCAATGGGTTTGCTGGCACATGGAATGAGAGCTGATTGTCTTGGGGCACTAGGCTTCCCAAGGGAGATAGAAGAGCTGTAATACATGCCTGTGCAGGGCAGAGGCCTGAGTCTGCCAAGTGGAGGGGTTGTACTTCTCTTCCTCAGGGCAGCAGGGGCCCGGGTAGCGGGACAGCAAGAAAGCCCTGTAGGCCTGAGTAGCATGGCTGGAGCTGGCAGCAAAGCCAGTGAGGCCTAGTGGCAGTAGAAGCCTTGGAAGCTGTTCAGGTCCACGCCTACTCCCTGCCCCCCAGCAGCAAGCGATAGCTGAAGGCAGTAATGACATGAAGATGGCATTGACCTGAACCAGGGCATTTCTGCCAAGGACATAAAAATGGACATGGGTAATTTTGGGAGGGGTAGGTGTTTCTGCTTTGGAAATCTGTTATTATTTTTTGCCATTTGTTTTCTATAAATAATAACAATGCAAAAAAAAAAAGAAAATACAACTAGTGAAACTTTTGAAGTAGATCTTAGTAACAAAAAAATCATGGTTAATTAGATGCAAGGTCACTTGGAGGCTATGTATGACTGAAAGTGAACACCAGTATTCAAGAACAGGCCTCACCTAATGACCTCTTACACTCTTGTTGCTTCCTTTTCCAACCACACACAAACAGGAAATCTGCATTTGGTCTTTGTCATATGTGGATGACCTTTTCTGAGGGTGGCCTTTAGTCTGTCCTTAAAATTCTCTCCAGCAAAGTAATAGAGCAAAGGGTTGAGGCAGGTATTGGCTGCTGCCAAGGTCAGTGTGATGACCACACCTTTATGCAGTGAGGCTGTGTGCCTACCCCACATAACCAGATGGAGGGTTCTCAGTACGTGATAGGGCAGGAAACACAGGAGGAAGATGACCAAGGTCATGATGATGGTGGTCAGGGCCTTCCTGTGAGAAACTCGCAGCCCTGATTCTGGGACCTCTACCTTTAGCAGAGTTCGAATGATCAGCAGGTAACAGATGCTGAGAGTACAGAACGGCAGGAAGAAGCCCACCACCAAGGCAATGTGGTTCATGATCTGCAGCTTAACAATTTTATTGGGATTCAGCTCTAAGCATGAAATGACATTGTTCTTCTGCTCAGACCCACTGTTCAGAAGCATTGTTGAGGAAGCCATGATAAAAATCCATATGATTCCACAGAGGATCCAGGCATTCCTGATGCTGGTGGCATGGAGGAGCCGGAAGGGGTGAACGGTTGCCAGGAAACGCACAACACTTAGCACGGTCAGGAAATAAATGCTGGTGTACATGTTGACATACATAGAGTAGGACATGAACCTGCAGGCCAGGTCCCCAAATATCCAGTGGGAACTTCTGAGGTAATAGTCTACCCTGAATGGCAGTGTGGTCACAAACAGGAGATCAGAAATGGCCAGGTTTAACATGAAAACATTCACAGATGTAGACTTCTTATAAGGCTGCAGGAAAACAAATATGGATAAGCCATTTCCCAATGCTCCCCAGACAAAGATTATCAGGTATGCGATGGGATAAAATTCTCTCTTGAAGTTTTCAATCGCACAGGTGCTGTTGTTGTTGCAGTTGCTGAAGTTGACATTTTGGTCCATTTCTGCTTTGGCGGTAGGTAGAGGCAAGGACATAAGTTTTCTGTCCATGCTGAGTTAAAAAGAAACAGACACAAAAAGTTATTTTGTACATTGCTGTTCTCCTTCCATGCACATTTTTCCAGGCTTTAATAAGATAGGAAGAAGCACTAGTTTTTCTTTGAAATTTGAGTTTGAAAATAATGGCTATGTCTTTACTATATGCTGCAATATATTATATGAAAAATTTCCTAATTTAAACAATATAGTTATTCTTTGATAACTATAATAAATAAATATTAGTTTATTTGGCAGAAGTTGATACTTCAAATTTAGGAAACGTTTGACATGAATACCTCCTCATGTGACACTGCAACCTAAAATCTAACAGACACTGGATGTCTCCTCAGAAATTATGGAAGCCAGAGGAAAGTGGCACACCATTTTTCAAGTGTTGAAAGAAAAGAACTATCAAAATAGAGTCCTATATCCAGTGAAAATATCGTTCAGTTATGAAGAAGAAATCAAGACATTCTCATATGAAATACCATTTGACCCAGCCATTCCATTACTAGGTATATACTCTAAAGAAGTGAGAGCCATGACAAGAACAGATATATGCACACCCATGTTCATCGCAGCACTGTTTACAATAGCC